GTCTACAAGCTGTCAGATGAAATAAACCCTTTCCTCCCCAAGTTGCTTCTGGCCATGGTGTTCATCAAAGCAATAGAAACCCAAATTAAGACACCTGGTCATTCTATATATTTCTATGTTTATCTTGGCAACAAAGAAAAACAGTACCTGTGTTTCTTAATGTCATTGATCCCATTCTTCAGATTCCCCAGCCTTTCTGTTGGGTTTTGCCTGAAATAATTTATGAAAGAAGTTTATAATGGCAATATTTGAGTGATTTTAGATAGGGGAGTAACATTTGTTTTTTAATTCATTGACTCAATAACTTTCATCAGATCCTACAGTGTGGGTCAGCCACTTGAGCACAGGAAGAGAACAAAGTCACAGCCCTTCCACATAGGATTCACAGCCGAGTGTTGATACATCTATCAGTTCATTATATGAGCTGCGAATAGATGCTGAATAAATGCTACCTTTCAAACTCGGCTAAGAGAACTGGGAAATGCCTTAGAGTTTCATTTACATCCAAGCTGCAATCTTAGAAGTCTGTAGGTGGTCGTTGGTGATGCTCAAACTAGGTCTGATGATTTTACTAACTTTAAATCCTTCAATATTTTTAAAAAATGGAGCAGGGGGTACCACAACACATTGTAGTTTAAGCAAATCAAAGCAAAACAAAAACCTCTGGAAGTCTCTAATTTTTTTTCTGAAAAAAAAATGGTGGTTTCTATAGTAAGTACAAGGCTGGAATATTTTAAAAGAAAACTGGAGAAATTCTATTTTTTAAAGACTATTGGGGGCTGGAGAGAACACTTACTGACTGTTCTTCCAGAGGACATTAGAGTCCTAGCCCCCACATGACAGCTCATAATCTGTTACCCCAGCCCCAGGAGGCACAACATGGCGCATAGACATGCATGCAAGTAAAATACCCATACACATAAAATGAAGCTAAATAATTCTTTTCTTAAAAGCTATTTTTAAAAACAGAAAGAAAAGAAAATGAATATTAAGGAGCTAGAGATACAGCACAGTGGTTAAGAAAACTTGCTGCTCTTCCAGAGGACCTGGATTTGGTCCTCAGCACCCATATGACAGCTCACAACAGTCTGTAACTCCAACTCCTGATCTGATGACATCTAGCCTCTCAGGGTTCCAGTTATGCACCTGTACACTCAGTCAACCCACACACAAAATTTTGAAAAATATTTTTTTAATTTAAAAACTTCCTTCAGTTATAACAGCAACATAATAAGTTCAAGCAGTGAACACAGAAACCTAACTGTGAAGCATCTACACACTCCACAGCAGGTGAGTGAAAGCCTTCACACTTCCTCCAATGCTAGGCATTACTGATGGTCATTCTCACCTGCAAAGCCTCCGGATCAAATCCTCAGGTCGCCTTGTTATCTTTCTAGGGAAGTCCATTTTTTCAATTCCTTTGAGAATCAAATTGTAGGTCATCATTTGGTCTACCCCAGAAAAGGGTGGGCTGGAGAAGATGTAAAATAAGACACACTTCAATGAGTGCCTAAGAGAACTTCACTTTTCTTTTCCTACTTCTCTTCCTCCTTTTTCCTGACTCTCTAATCCTCTCCTCCCTTGTTAGTTACTTTACAACAGATTTGTATATATTCTGGAAAAGCCTTTCATATCACTTAAATGATACACACAGTTACATGTCAAGTGGTGATAATGACTATGAAGAAAGCCATGGAGATAGAGAGGGAGAGTAGATGTGACTTTTTTTTTTCTTTTCTTTTTTTTTAAGACCGTGAGTAGAAAAACCCTCTTCTTTGAGCTGACAAAAGAGAAGAAGTCTGACTGGACAGAGGGAGTGGATGAGCTACACACTTGTTTGTGGGCACTGAGTTCTGAGACAGGAAGTGTGAAGGAATGCGTTGGGAGTGGGCAGCAGTGGGCAGCATAGATGGTGGAGTGAGTAAGCTTTGAAGGGTGTGAGAAATTATAACAGCATCATATGTATTTAGTGGGCTACCGTAAGGATCTGGGGATACATTCTGAGTCAGCAGTATTACTTATAGAAACTCCAGTCATCTGTTTTAAAACAAGAAATAAAGTACGGTGTGGGGTGGTGAGCCTGGAAGGCTGGCTGTGGGAAGTGGTGCTAGAGGTGGTGAAACAGTCAGGGCTCTATCTAGGCTGGGAAATGTACTAGTTATGTCCATTTGTTAAGTTGAACATTGAAGGGATGATACCTGGTAACTAATGAAGCTAATTAGGTTGAGGTTGGGTCATCAATGAATAGGTTTAGTGACCTTCTGAGACAGAATGCTGGCTGTCCATCTTGTTCCTAGTGAGGATCCCATAATTAGTCAGGTCTACCAGAAGACAGGCCTCACTGGAACTCAGCTCTTTGCTGAGGCTTCCATCCTCCCAAATTGCAAGAAATCAATGATAAAAGAAAAAGCTACCCAGCTTACAGTATTTTGTTTTAGAGCCTAAGCTAAGATTGATGATAAAGCTAATAGGATTTGCTATTGTAGTAGATGCAATGTGAAAGACAGAAAAGTGATTCAAGAACAATGTTTGAGCCTTTAATCCCAGCACTTGCACTTGAGAGGCAGAGGCAGGAAGATCTCTGTGAGTTTGAGACCAGCCTGGTCTACAAGAGCTAGTTCCAGGACAGCCTCTAAAACCACAGAGAAACCTTGTCTGTGGGGTGGAAAACAATGTTTGGCAGGAGTGCCCACAGAACGAAATTATTGTCACTAAGAGAGGCAAACTAGGATAGAGGCAAGAGGTGTCATTTGGATCTAGGCTATCTCCAGAGACCTGGTCCCCAAGCTGTTCCACAATGGGGAAGCAATGGAACCTTTGAAATGAGGCATACTTGAAGAAAGTTAGGCCACTAGGGAGATGACCTTGACTGGGATATTGATATGCTCATCTCCTTCTTACCATGTTCTGGCCACCACACAGTGAACAGAACCCCTTTGCCACATGCTCCTGTCATAATGCACCATGTCCCCAAATCTACAGAGTTAATGAGCCATAGAATGATACTAGGAACTAGAATAAATCTTTTCTTACTCATAAATGATCTCGGGTGTTTGGCCAGAGCAATGGGAAGTCAACTGACTCAACAGTGGTGCAGCTAGTTATAGGGGAAACAAATCAGGATTGTTTTCCAGAACCACATGGAACTGCTGGGCAGGGAGCTGGATTTATGAGCCTAGCATTGAGGAAAGTCACTAAGGCATTATGACTTGGGTCATGTCATATGGTTTATGGCTGTAGGACTTGAGGATATTACCCTATATCCTCAAGTGTTAGATAGAAAAGAGGCCATGAACTGACTGGTCCAATGTTAATCTATCAGGAAAATGAGAAGAATCTGGAATGCAAACAGTGAAAGAGCTATTGGTGTAGGTTAAGGAAGCCCTGGAAACCACCAAGGAGAATATTTCAAGGAATGCTGGGTAAAACTTGTTGAGATGTAGCCACCAAGTTGAGCAAAATTTTCATTCATATATCACTTTGATTTCTAAAACACCTTCTTGTCTGGTCTAGTATGCCATTTAAATTTTGAAAATTAAAGATGATCTAACTACTCTGTTACAGCTTAACCAGGCTTGCACCCTATGGAAACCAATAGTATTCACCCTTTATACAAAAAAGCAAAGGCAAAGAAACAACTTTACAATAACCTATGCTTCATTTGTGAAGAAAATGAAGGAGGAAACAGAGCTATTGATATGACATCTTCAGTGAACACAGATAGATACATATTGATAACTGTGTTACTTCCTTTCTTTAGTTTTTTTTTCTTCATTTTCCCTTACATACTTAAACACCAGATCACACAATTAAAAATGGACTTTTCTTTTGCCCTACCCTGAAAATGTTCGGCAAAACATCCTTTACGACGGTTCAAGGCCACCTTAGCAATTTCAGGCTATGGTGCTTTCTCTCCCTCCTTTATTTCCCCCAGTTTATTTTGCTACTCTATATGACACATTTCCAGATGACAAAGACTGACGTGTCTATTCTCCAGCAGCTCCAAGAGCCACTATGTCACTACCTCTCCCCTAGAAACTTCTACGATGAGGAAGAAAAATATTGCAAAGAACCCAAAGTTAGCCACACCTTAACAAACTTGTCTTTCTCAATAACTACCTGGAAATTTTCCATTCTTCCATGCACATCTTAAAGATGAATATTTAAATATGGTTATAGATGATGACTAGTGATTCAGATAAAATATAGATTTTCATTTCCCCAGTGCAAAGATGTGAACCATGACTTAGGTAATTTAACACCAAGTTAAATACTTAAATTCCAGTATTTAAGAAGTTTAGGAAAATCATAGCTCAGTGGCAGAGGATTTCTCTAGAGTGTGTAAAGCCCTGTTTAGGTCCTTACTGTTGCAAAAAGAAGAAACTTAGACAAAATTCTATGAAATTCTGTTTTGTTTTGCATGTTGATATTTACACTAACAATGCATTTCAGTATTTCTTAGAAAATTCCTAGTCAAATCTCTCTGCAACTAATGTTAAAAGCACAACTGGCTATAAAGGGCCATAAAGCATGCATGTGTCATGGAAAGTACGTCACAGAGAGGGCCAGAAGATCTGGGATCAGATTACTGATATCAGGCAGACAGTTTTGTGGCTTAGTTGTCTAAGTTATATAATTTAAACCATGAAATAATCAAAACATGTGAATCATAAAATAATAATAAAAATTCCTACCTTATCTAATTCACACAAGGGTATGAAAAATAAACTAGATTCTATGTATATGTGCTTCATAAAGAGTGAAGTATTTCACACATGTGAAGGCTGTGTTGCCTGTGTATATGTGTGCATTTGTGGTTGACCATGCTCACACTGCACTGTGTTAAATATTTAGAGCCACAGAAGATTCATTAAACCCATCTTTTCATCTCTTTGGGAATGACAATTTACTCTTAACTGCTAAAACCCATGCTGTGTCTTGACTGTTCATTAGCACCTTGGAAAGGAGTTGGCAGGGTATTTACAATTTAAATTCAGCATTGTAGCTTTCTCTTAGCATTTCTGGTTAATGACATGTGGGGAAGAATCTGGCTAAATTTAGTTTGATTGATCAATGAATTTTACTGAGCTAGGAAAACAGCTTTCATCATTAATTTAAAAAGAAGGAAATTCTACCAAATCCAAAGCTTTCATTGTTTCTGTTCCTGGATTATAAAACCTTCACATAGTTAATGTGTCATCTGTAACAATGCAACTTGCCATTTTAGGTAAACTGTAACAATTCTATACACCTTTGCTTTAGCTTTCTGAATCCTTTATGTATATTTTAAACTCCCTATCCAAGCTGGTGTTTGAAGAAACATACAGAGGAAAAAGAAAAGTTTTAAAAAAATATTTTCAGATAGTTAAATTTTGGATTTTACATTTTTATCATTAGTGGGTTATTTTGTGCTGCTCTGAAGAAAAGGCTGGGCAAAACTGAACAAAGTGCAGTCTCACACTTACTTGCCAGTTAGAAGCTCATATACTAGAATTCCCAGGGACCAGAAGTCCACACTGAAGTCATGTCCTTTGTTCAGAATGACCTCAGGGGCCACATATTCTGGAGTCCCACAGAACGTCCATGTTTTCTGCCCGGAGCCAATTTTCTTAGCGAATCCAAAGTCAACCTGTGACAGAATGTCAAATGAAGCTGAATATGTTATAAAACAAATTCTGCTTTTAAATTTTTTACTAACTCTGAGTTTTATACAACCCAAACTTTCCTACACACACACACACACACACACACACATTCCTTTGTAAGTCATATGTCAATCAAGTTGTTAAGAGAAAGTTTCATTATATATACCTCACCTCATTACCCTTGAAGACAATTCAAAATCATTCTTATGCTCCCAGAAAACAAGTCTGAAGTATATTTTAATTTGCTGGTTTATTCAATGGGTTGACTAGAGAAGGGGAAAACGACAGAAATATGTGCCTTTACCCCACCGGGATTAAAATAATTGCAAAGTTGAGAGTTTGAGAAAGAGTCTATTGCTAGGAAGGGAGTTGTAAACATCTACCTAGCACTGGTCACAATGTGTACCTCCTGTCTATCTCACCAGTCAGAAGCAAAGTCAACAGCATCTTTCCCTAGTTTGCTCTGAGCTCTGAACACTTTTGGTCCCCACTAGCGAGGTGGGTGGTAGCTAGTACCAACATTAACTTGCTGGAAATGTAGGGTCAGTGCCCACTCTGACTTAGACTTTCTTCTATTTTTATCATACTGAGTTGACCATGAGAATCTGGGTCCTGGGAAAATTTTTGCACACATAGTTAACACAGCATTCTATGATACATAACAGGAAAGAAAGCATAAACTCAAAGTAAAGAGAAAAAAAGAGCTAAAATCCAGAACATTAGGAAGATAGGGCTGTCCACTAGCGAGGTGGGTGGTAGCTAGTACCAACATTAACTTGCTGGAAATGTAGGGTCAGTGCCCACTCTGACTTAGACTTTCTTCTATTTTTATCATACTGAGTTGACCATGAGAATCTGGGTCCTGGGAAAATTTTTGCACACATAGTTAACACAGCATTCTATGATACATAACAGGAAAGAAAGCATAAACTCAAAGTAAAGAGAAAAAAAAAGAGCTAAAATCCAGAACATTAGGAAGGTAGGGCTGGGAGAGGGTGGGTGACACCAGGAGGTGACACCTGTGGTTGTCCCTGACTAGGGGTTAGGAACTCTCCCCTGGTAAGGAGTCCCTACTCCCCTCCTCTGCCTTGTAGGATGTATCTCTCATTTCTCCAAACTTTTACCCAGTGAACTCTGTGGAACAAACAAGAAAGGAGGCCAGAGCCTCAGTAGTCCCTCACTGAAAC